TTGCAGATCCCAGAGGATACGACAGCTGGGGGGGAACAAAGGCCACACCGTTTAGGACTGCTTTCAGCAGAGAATGCTCCACAAGCAGCTGATCTCGGGGGGCTGTCCCAGGCTGTCAGCTGGAGAGGAGAAGCACGCACTGGAAGGGAGAAAGGAAGAGAGAAATAGCTCAAAGGCTTGAAGTGAATGTGGTGGTGAACTCTGGGAACTGGGAAGGGTTTTTTTTCTAGCCAGGTAAAGCAGCAAAGATTGATGCTTTGTTTTGCGATGGACATCAGAGAGAGGCAGCACCCCTTAGATTCTCACATAAGGGACAAGAATATGTCCCATAATCAGGTTCACCAGTTCTGGGGGATCACACAGTAGCACAGCCCAATAGGGATGGGAAGGATGAGGGCAGCTAACACTCACCTCAACAGATCTACCCTTGATCAACCCAGGCTGAAAAAGGTAAGACAGTCCCCCCAGCACATACTGGCCATGGCCACGGGACACCAGCCTCATCCATAGACTATGAGGCCAAAAGCCTAAATCCCCAGAGATAAATGGTTACTGCAGTGGGGTCTTCCTCACCCAAGAGGTCTGAGACACCTTAGTGGTCCTGCAGTGCTCTGTATTCCATGAGGAAGAGCCTAAACCCTGCTCCTCAAAGCCTGGGATTGTCTCTAAATTGGTTTTTCATCCGCACCACTAACTGCAGCCGCACCACCACCCCAAAATCACAAGCCAGGCTCATAAATAAATCAAATAAATAAATTATCAGCTATTTTTACAGAATTTGTGGGTGTTCTTGAACATTCAGGGAATACTTGGGTTGTGCGTTCAAGTTTTTTCTGGCAATAACAAGGTCTGGATTTTTAGTTTGGGCTCTGATTGTCGGGAGGGATTTTTAGTGGTTCTTCTACCTCATGTCTTCCGCAGTGAAATCAGCACTTTTCTTGTGCCCAAGTGGCACAGCAGCAGGTTCACCAGTCAATCTGGGAGTCCTGCCAGGTTCTCTTCAACTTAGCCACCACCACCAGGGACAGGGATGCTGCAGCCCACCTGGCACCACGTGCTCCGGGGGAAGGAGGCAATGTGCTGCTGTCACTGTCACCTCGGGACCTTGCAGCCCGTGGAGTCCTGCTCTGCAGCGCATGGGGACATCTGCGACAAGAGATCAAACACAGGCAAATACAGATCTCAAACAAGGCAAAATGTGGCACAGGCAGAAAGACTGGTCAATGCAGAGTGGGAAGTGAGTTGAAAAGAGACAGTGGAAAGATTGGCTTTGGAAGGACTCTTACTTTATTTGAGGTATTTTTCCATTGAAAAAGTAAGTTATTTTGAAAATGTGATGGTTTTCTATCTCATTAAAGGGAGCATAATTCAAAACACGTGGAGTTTGTCCCACTTTTTTTTTTTGGCCATCCTTCTTTGAGGCAAAAAAAAAAAAAAAAGGGAAGGAATAGGAACACAAAACTCAAGTGGGCTTCTACTCATTCTCACTGCTTTTTGCTCCTTTTTCTGAAACGTTTTCAGTAGGAAAGTGAGAAGAAGGCCATCCCCCCATTATATTCTCCTTCTCTACTTCCTCCCACCTTTTCTCCTAAATAGAAAATAAGGGGAAAAAAAAACAAAAAAAAACCCAGAAAAATGTAAAAGCTCCCACTCTTTCAAAACAAAAAAGTACCACACTTCCAAACATTAGGAAGGGACATCTTTCAGTTGCAGCATTCAGAAATTAAACGCACCATCGCTCCATCCCTGCAACGCAAAGAAGGACTATTTCCCACAAGAAGGATGGAGAACAGCAGCTCACCCCTTCGACAATCTCCCGCTTGCCTTTGGGCATGATGTGGACTCTGCCAACTCCTTGATGCCTCCTGGGCCAGACCAGTCTCGCACCAGGAGCTAGACTTCACCCATGATGTCTCTCTCTCCACTCCTCACAGGCAGGCAGTGTTTTTGGGGCATAAAGCCTGGCTGGGATCGAGCCGTTAGTTACCATTCCTGTTGACAGGCAAACTAGAATAGGCTCTGGCTCACTTTCTCCGAGCTGCGGAAGGAGGAATGAGCCGGGAAAAGAGTTCATTCAATTGCTTCTGTTTGGCAGCTCTGCAGGACTCTCCGCATAGAACAGAAAGCGATGTGGCAAGTAAGGAGTTGCCATTTTTAGAATTACATAAGCCAGTTTGATTGCCATCGAGGCACTCTGTGCAGCTCCTGCCACGGTGCCCTGCCGCTTGCTCTGCAGTGGGGCCGGGTTTCAAAAAGCTTTAGGAGCAGGTCAGAAACCTGCTCTTCAAATCAGGTTAAAACCGGCAGCGTTAGCCCTTCAAAGTCAGCACAGACATGCAAGGACCCTAGGCCAGGGTGCTTCCAAAATCCCACTGACCACATTTGCTGTGGGACTCAAGCAGTGTTGCAAACCCTAGCTCCTCGGTAGCGCTTCATACACCAGATAATATAAATTAGGACTACCTGCTTGCATAGATGCTATAATGCGTGTGTAACTCAGTGAAAGGGCTGAAAACAACAGCCTGGAGGGACCCAATGCCAAGGTGGCTTCACCATGTCCCATACAGTCATGGTTGTCTCCAGTGGGTGACACAGCAGCAGAGGAGGGCCACCTCACCGACCCTAAGGGCCCTGCCCGTGTTGGCTGAGGTGTCGGTACTGCTCCCATTATACAACACTATGGTTTCAAAGGGGTAACTGGAAGCAGTCAAACGGGTAACAAACCCCTCTTCATCCCAGCACCAAACTGCTATCCCAATTTCCCCATTCGTTGCTCACCGATTTGTCCATAAAGTGCCTCTGACCACTGCAAACTGAACTCCACCCAAACACCTTGGGGCCATTCCTCGGTTGCCCTTTAGGGCCACTAATTGCTGACCTGCATTGAGGCAGACCCAAACTCAGCACGGTGGAGCCCGAGCCTGGCCATCACTGCGGTCCAGCTCTCCTCCATTGGCCCCTCCGCCACACCTCACACCAGCTACAAAGCCACATCAGCAGCTGCTCCCCAGGCTCAGAAAGGCAGCCCCATCCTAATTGCCTGGACTGGTGGCTCACCCGGTCGTCCATCACCTCCTGCTATTGAAAATAAATAATAATAAAAGTACTTTAAAATCACATACAAAAAGCAAAGCAGCCTAGAAATCAAAGCCACCATTTCAGAGAGATCGAAGCATAATGCTAATAACTTTCGGCAGCTTCCACTGTGGAGTTTAAGCAGCTGCCAAGTTAAATAACCAGGAGTATCCTAAGTTATCTTCCAGTGGACCATAAATGCTCAGCGCCGACTGCCCCGGCGGGGCGGCCGGACGGGCGGGAGCGCTGCCGGGCCTGTGGGCCCCTGCGCCCCCCGCCGGGACGGGGCCCAGGCGGAACGCGGTCCCGGGGAGCCCCTCATGGGGCGGGTTTGGTTGTCGGGGGGCGAAAGGGAAAGCCCCACTGGTTTTCGATGTCAGCGGCCGAGGAGCGTTTGGGGCCGGGGCAGCGTGGCCGCAGCTAACGGGACCGGGCGCCCAGCGAGCCCTGGGATGCACCTGGGCTGTTTCGCGGGGCCAGGCGGGCACTGCAGCCGTTTACCGGGGATGTCAGCGGCGCAAAAATAACCTGGGGAACGATCGCGTTTGCGTTGTGAGAGGCTTCGCGGCGAGCGCCTTCCAGGGAGAAAATCCGCAAACCATTTCCCCCCGCCAAACCCCGGGTGAAGGATTAAAACCCCACAGGAAGAGGCAGAGAGCGGCGCTGGGATGGGACCCCGCAGCCCGCCCGACGTGCGGCCGCTCCTGCCCCCCAAAGCCGGGTTTAGGGCACAGAGCGGGGCTTAGGCACGGCGGGGCTGGGGCAGCTGTCCCAAAGTCAGTCATTTGTAATAGGCTTGCCGGAAGAGCAGCAGTGGAATTGATAGAGACAGCCTCCAGCTGCGCCTAAACCTGCAGTTTCAATTAAAATACTGAGCTCCGATGCGCGGGTTTGAGCTGGGATCCCCAAGAGCTGATGCACAGGGAGTGCGGTACCCCCGCTCCTCACCCTCCACGGGGACCTTTTCGGGCCGCGGCCCCGGGGCTGCTACACGGGGTCCTCGCCGCTCCTCACCCCCCGGGAGCCCCGAGGCCTGCGGGACCCGCAGACCTGCTCGATGCGGAGCGGGGAGCCGGCGGCTGCCGTGCCTTCGGCCGGGGAAGGGAAAGAGGGAGAGACCCGGCCCGGAGAACAGCCCGGCAAGGGGAAGCTGGCAGCGAGGTCCCGGCCCCGGCTCCGCAGCCCTCTTTTATCCTGCCCGAAATCATCTCGTTTACAGAAAATATTTGTTTGCACTATTAGTTGGTACTGGAGTTAATTACTCAACGTGTGAGCGGGGAGTAATATGGATAAAAGCAGCCCCAGTGTTTATTGTGTGGGTGAGCTGTTTGAGCGGTGCTTGAATAAACTGCAATTAGGGTTAGATAGAGATTAATTAACATGTGAGTGGCAAGGTGTAAAATAGTTCCCAACCCTCCACTCAGTATAATCTGCAGGCGAGGAAAAGAAGTTTGTGGAGGCTAATTAAATACTTTGCTAAAGCCGGCGAGCCCCGGGAGCAAGCGGAGCGCAGCCGCTGCCTGCCCCCTGCCCGCTGCCGGGCAGAGGCTCTGCTCGGCTCCCCAGGGCTCTCCCGCAGTCCAAGCACCAGTTTGTGCCGGTGCACGCTGCTCTCCGCGCTTCCATCTCACCTTCTCCCCCCTTAAAACGCGGGACCCATCGGAGGAGACCGGGAGGACAGCAGCGAGCAGGGCTGGGGGACAACAACTCCTGATGCTCCAGATGGGAAGAGCCCTATTCGCGAGGCGGGGTGTCCCCCCTCACGTTCCCGAGGAGCCCCCGGGGCAGGGCGCTCCCCTCCGCCAGCCGGGGGCTGCTGCGGCCGCTTACAAAGTTTGTCTCTGGAGCGTGCTGTGGTTCGCAGGTGAAAAACCCTGTCTGCAAACAGCCGCCGGCGAGCTGCCCCGGCGGGGAGGCGAGGGGAGGCTTGTCAGAACCCCCGAATTGCTCCAAACTTTCTTCGGCGTGCGAGGGAGGTGGGAAAAGTGATAATAAATATAGATGGATATAGGGGCCTTTTCATTGCTTTGCTTTACCTCTGGCCAGGCTCAATCTAAACCCTTCGCTCCCCCGCCCCCTCCCCCGGCTAATCCTCCCCTTTATTTTAGAAACACACAAAACCAGGTTCCACGCAGCGCTATAGTGGCTACAAGTGAAAGAGAACTGAGCGCCCTGAATCGCTGGGGGGAAATTGGTCCGGCTGAATAGCCCCGGCGAGGGACGGGAGGCTAATGGGGGCCAAGGGGGGTGCTGCCGCCGCGGCCGGGCCCCCCAAACCAGGTGGACACGGGGCTTTCTCAATTGCCCGCGTCCTCGCATCTGAGGGTTCTGCAAATCCTCCCCTCCCGCATCAAGTCGTTTTAATTAGAGAGAGGAAGGGAAGGACCCCCAGCATCCAGGCGCTGTAATGTAGCGTCTCCTATTTTGGGGAAGAGGGAGGATGGGGGGGGGGGGCACGACCAGGACTATAAGGGGGAGCTGCTCTGCTGCCACCCCCCCCCAGGGAAGCGGGCACCTTTCGGGGTGACAGTTTGCAAACCTCCCGTTTGCAGCGCACGGGGCCGTGTTTTAATTTATTTTTAAATATTTTTCATTTATTTATTAATTTATTTTTTAAAAAGCAGCGAAAACCCAGCCCCGGACTCGACTCCCTCCGCGTTTATTTAAGGCTAATCACCAGCTACCCTGAGAGGGGTGGAATTAAACTTAGTTTAATTAACATTAATACACTGTCCTAATTAATGGGTTGGCTATTAATTTATACATGCTGGGGAGGCTCGCAGATAAGTGACAATTTATTAATTATCTTCCAGCTCGGTTGCAACGGAGCTGATTGCAGATGGGTTGCCAAAATAACTCGAGCATGGTTGCGTGGTAGTTGCTTTAGGAAGGGAAAAAAAATTCATTCTCCCCCTTCTTAAAGAAAAAAAAAAAAAAAGAGAAAGAGAAAGAAGAAGAAGGAAAAAAAAAAAAATCCTCACGCTCACTCGGAGTGGCTCTTCTAACCCCAGCAAGAACTGGAGCACTCTTTTCCACCCAACTTGTGAATCGCACTTGCCTTCTAATTTGCCACATGCAAAACGATTCCTCTGCTTTGCAAGTTGCTTTTTAAGAAGGGAGAGAGAGAGGAAAAAACGCAGCTCGCACACGAGCGATTTGTGCGTCTTAAACTGGAAGGAAATTGTGCGTGGAGAGAAAGAGGGGGGGGGAGCTCCTCTTCCTCTCTCTGCCCCAGCCCACCGCGCTCCAGCCCGGCGCCTCGGCTCGGGGAAGATCCGTGGTGGCATCCCCATGTCATTCTGCTCCAAGTGACTTCATGTGATGTCAGCTTTAAATGTACGAGACCGTGATCTGACGCTCAGGAAGATGTTTGCTATCAAAATGTGACGGTGGCCACACTGCGCTGCTTGGATGAGGCTCGCCGGCGCTGGGCAAAGGTAAGTGGTCCCAAGCCGAACCCCGCCGCCCCTCACCGTGCTCCCTGCCCCCCGCATCCCCTGCACCGCGGCCATTGGTGGGGCTGGGCTGGGTGGCATTGGGCTGGGGGAGACTTTTCTTTTTCTTTCTTGTTTTTTTTTTTCTTTTAAATACTAACAAGGTCTAGCTTGCATGTTACTTTAGCGTGTTCCGCTTAATGAGCAGTAATCTGGTACCCTACGTGCCATTGTTCTTGGATATGTTCATTTGAATGTAAATAGGGAGGGGGTGCCGGGGGGGGGGGGGGGGGGGGGGAGAATAAGGTGCTTATTAAATTGATTTGTCTCCCTGGCTTTTCTGGAATGCAGAGCCGAGAGCGGGAGCCACTCGCTGCTCACACCAAGTTCCCGCACGGCGGAGCGACATGGCGAGCCCGGGGTCGCTGGAGACGGTCATGCCTTCCTCCTGCCCCCGGCACGACGGCAGGGCCGCCGCCGCTAACCCCTCCAAGACCCTGGCCTTCTCCATCGAGCGGATCATGGCCAAGACGTCGGAACCCAAGCCAGCCTTCGAGCAGCGGCACGGAGGGCCGGAGTCGGAGCCGGTCAAGAAGCCGCTGAGCCTGTGCTCACCCCTGCCCTGCGTGATCCCCATCCCGCCGCTGGGCTACGAGGTGCCCTCCAAGACTCTCAGCTACTCGGAGCTGTGGAAGAGCAGCTTGCGGGGCGGCGCGGGGCTCTGCAAAGCCAACTGCGGCGTGTGCTGCAAGGCAGAACTCGCCCTGGGCCAGCCCAGCGGCCGGCTCATCAAGCCGCAGGTCATCCATCAAGCGGGGGCCGTGCCGGCAGCCCCCCGCTCCCTTTACTACTTCAATTACCTGGACGCCGCGTACCACCCGGCCGACATCCTGCACGGACAGCTCTTCCCCGCCGGCCTGCTGGGGGCCCCGCCGCCGGGGGGCCTCTCGGCCCACCAGAAGCTTTTCCTGCTGGAAAACGCCAAGCTAGCGGGGCTGGCGGCCGAGAAGCTGCCACCACCGCCGCCCTTCGCCCATAAGGAGCGGCTGCCGGGACACCTCGACCAGGTGATGAAGGATGCGGCGGCGGCGGAGCGCGGCGGCCCCCCCAAGGGCCACGCCAAGCTGGGGGGCGGCGGCGGCGCGGCGGAGGGAAAGCCCAAAAACTTTACCTGCGAGGTCTGCGGCAAGGTAAGGGGGGCGCCGGCAACGGGGAGGGGACACACACACACACACACACACACACCCCAGGAGCGGCCGGGCCGGGCCGGGCCGGGCCTGACCCCGTTTTCCCGGCGCTTCCCCGCAGGTATTCAACGCGCACTACAACCTCACCCGCCACATGCCGGTGCACACGGGGGCCAGGCCGTTCGTGTGCAAGGTCTGCGGGAAGGGCTTCCGCCAGGCCAGCACCCTGTGCCGGCACAAAATCATCCACACCCAGGTAGGTGGGGGGCTAGGCGGGGGGAAGAGGCTGGCCCCCGCCCCCCGCAGCCCCCCCTGACCGGCCTCTCGCTTTCCTTCCCCCCCCCCCCCCCCCCCTCCACCCGGTTGCAGGAGAAACCCCACAAATGCAACCAGTGTGGGAAGGCGTTCAACAGGAGCTCCACGCTCAACACCCACATCCGCATCCACGCCGGCTATAAGCCTTTCGTCTGCGAGTTCTGCGGCAAGGGCTTCCACCAGAAAGGTGAGCTGAGCTGAGCTGAGCTGGGATGGGACGGGGCCCTCGCCCCCCGTTAGCGGAAATTAGACGCGGCGAGCCCTGCCCGGCTCGGCCGGAGCAGCCGCCGCTCCCAATTACTTCCCCTCTAAGCGGGGCCGCATCGCTGGGCCCCGCTGATAGTTCTCCCTAAATGCTTTTTAAATGAGAGGTGCCGGGGGCCTTGGTCCTAATCCAGAGCCCCTCCGTTTGCCGTGGGTCACTGGGCTGACCCTGTCTCTCATTTGTGCCGTGCCAGTTGCACGCTGCTCCGCGCTGACAGGGACCAAGTTTGACAAGGCGGGCGGGGGGAGACACTTCCTAATGCCCCCCACCCCGTCCTGCCCGGCTTTACCTGTGCACCGAGCGGCCTGGGCACCTTCGGTAACCCCCTTTTCCACCTTCCTTTCTCGCAGGCAACTACAAGAACCACAAGCTGACCCACAGCGGGGAGAAGCAGTACAAGTGCACCATTTGCAACAAAGCCTTCCACCAGATCTATAACTTGACTTTCCACATGCACACCCACAATGACAAGAAGCCCTTTACGTGCGTCACTTGCGGGAAAGGATTTTGCAGAAACTTTGATTTAAAAAAGCACGTCCGAAAGTTGCACGACAGCGTCTCCAGCGCTCCTCCGCCGCGGGACTCTGGGCGCAGCGGGCAGAGCTAAGGGCCCCGCACGCCGCCCCACTCGGACCTGCTCCACCAGGCCACCACTATTTATCCAAACCAGCCTTTGCTTCTCTTCTTTCCCCCAGCGAGCTCAGCCGCCGGTAGCAAGCGATCCCGAGCCGCAGTTGTATATAAGAGGAATCTTATTTAACGGCGCGTTGCGCCGCTGGAGCGGGCCAGGAGGGGCCGGGCTGGCCGCCCCCCGCCAGGACAGCGCTCTTTATCCGTGTCTGTAAATCTCCATTTTAAATGTACGCTCGAATAAGTGAGGAATATATATATATCTATATCTATCTATCATGGGACAATAAACCGACCCTTCGCAGGTGTCTCATTTCCCACCTCGGCCCCGGTCCGAGCTGGGGACCGGGCTCAACGGCGCTGTCCGCCGGCTATACGCGGCTTGCGGGAGCTCCGGGCGCCAGGACGACGGCGGGGAGAGCCAAGCCCTGCCGCCTCGGGGCCCACCGAGCGCTGTGGAGGAAACCGAACGAGGGCGGGAGGGCAGCGGGCGGCTTCCTGGTGCTGCCGCCCCCCGGGAACGGGGCAGCGCCGCTGCGGGACCCCCGGCAGCCTGCGCGAAGGGTGGTTCGGAGTTTCCCAGCGCCGCTTCCCGGGGTCGGTTCATTACGGCGTGTTAAATCCGCTGCTGAATGACTCTCTTCCCCTGCATGCAGATAAAATGATCTCACGCTTGCTTTCCGAGTAATGACCCAAATTAAGAGAGAAAACACAGACCCTTCAAACCGCATTACATTAATCTAATCACTCCCAGCAGGCCTCAGAAACTCTTTTTGATCAGAATATGGATAATCAAGCACTTGGATAACACTAAATATTCCTTTCTCATCTCCACCCCTCCCTCACTTTTAATATGCGAGTGTCTATTCCGGCCACGTCGTTAGGAACAATATTATTCTAGAGGAGTAAGGAGCTGGAGCCGGCCGTGCGTGTGCGTGTGCTCGGGCCGGGCTTGCCAATGAAGAGGGGAACAAGCGAGGCACCAAAATGCCTGGGGACGGTGTAACGGGGAGTTCACCTTTCTCCGCTTAATTGAGTAGCTAAACGGTGGGAGGCAAGGACAAGCACAGCTCGCGAGGCGACCCCTCGCTCCGGCTTTCGGGATTCATTAATCGGCTGCGATGCTCCGCTCTCCCCGATGAGCGGGCCGGGCCTGGGGGGATGCCGGGTCCCCTGCTCCCGCTGGACGGAGCGGAGCCAGTTCAGAGATGCTCGGGGTTTGCATTTTGAAGTACCAGAAGTAGCGTTTGGACGGTTTGCGCCGGGTGAGGAGCGGGAAAGGATGCCCGTGGTCCTGGCAGAGGGGAAAGATCGTGGTGGAATTTGTAAAAGATTTGGGGAGAGTTTCAGGTTATATTAAAAAAAAAAAAAAAGAAATAAGAAAAAATTGAACCCCGTCGCTGTAAGTCTCTGCTCTGGGAAGCCTCGGGGGGTGGGGGGAGGGAACCGTCCCCAAGCAGTGAAGAGGCTGTATCTCAGCCCCTCACCGGCAGATCGCGGCTGCGAATCGCCAGCCGAGCCCGGCTCTCCCCAACAACGGGGCGGGAGAGCCCCCGGCCCAGAGGCATCGGGAAGGGACCCGTCTCCTCTGAATGGACACTGTGCGGGGGGACACACGGCAGGACAGGGTCCCGGAGGCGGCGAGCGGCGGGTTGTGCGCAGCTCGGGAGCAGCCGCGGAGCCGGTCCCGCTGCCAGGGCCGGGGAAAGCGGCACTGGAAGAGGGTAGGGCTGTGCTGCCAGGCGGGGTCCCAAAGCGGGTCCCCCCAGACAGCTCGCAGGCTGCTTCCCCAGAGCTCCTGACAGGCGGGAGCAGCGCGAAACCTGCTCCCGGGAAGGGAATCGCGTTCTTTTCGTATCTTCATAAAAAGCGGTGTTGTTTACAGAGCCCTCTGCGAGAGGGGGAGCGGCATCCCCGTCACGGCTGCGGGCATCCTCAGGGCACCCCGGGTGCCGCGCCGGCCCGGTGGGTCACCCCGGCGGCGGTGGGCAGCGCAGCCCGTCCCGCGAACGTGTCGCTCCGGTGTCCCTCGGCATCGGGCGCACCGGGAAGCGATCGCCACCGGCCCCCTCACCCCCTCCTTCCCCGGGATCTCACCCGGATCCCGGCACAC